TCGCTCCAGCAACATGGTATCCTGCTAGAGATAAGTTACTCCAACACTCTTCACGATAGAGAGATCAGGTACTTATAGTTTTCTTTCTATTCGTACAAAGCTTTAATAACATTACTACTGGGATATCTTTATTTTAAATACCATTTTTATGCACCTTTTATAATTGAAGTTTCTTCTTATTATAATAGATGTGAAATGCTGTAGATGGCGCTCCTGTTATATAGGTCAAACTGGTAGAAGATTGTCAGATTCGTTCACTGAACATCTTCGTGACATTGAACTGGGTAAACTTTTCCAGGTCTCATCCCATTTCAGCGGAGATATTCATACAGGGACATGAGATGTATGCATTACGGCACTGATATCCTGTACCAACACACCATAGAGAGTTGGAATGGAAAACAAATTAATTCAGCTTTTAGACACAAGATCACCATATGGAATTACTCAAATACTCTCATACTAATGATTCTCAATTTCCCTGTATTTTTTTTCTTTTCTTTCTTATATTTTATATACAGGTAGCTCCAAAATATTTTTTTCCTTTAAGATCTTATTTTTCACAGTAACAATTCCTAAATTCTTTCACTCTGTAATCTTGGTTTTTGAAAATCTAACTCCCGGCAATAACACAGGCGATCACTTAAGTTTTAAATTTGTTTCTATTTCTTGTGCTATTTTCATCTGTCCTGTCTGCTGAGGAAGGCTCTTCTTCTTCGTTATATTAAGGGCCCACGATCAATTTATTGATCATTCTGGCTCCTATGCACATAGAGGGTATTTGTAATGTTTCTGTGCCTGGTGTTGAAAAGGATATTTCACTGGTTGCACGGCTACTCAGCGAGGGTATCATGAACTGGGGGTTGGAAAGCCTGAGGCAATAGACACAAATCTGTCAAGTGTTGTCGCCTCAACTTTTCCTTTTGGAAGCATGTTCCAGTCCCTGATTGTCTTTGGTAGGAATGAGTTCCTGTGCTTGATTCTTGCCGGTATGAGCTGGAACTGCCTGTCATGGCCTCGTCGCTGTCTATGGGGGAGAGGGATGAGTTTTTGTTTAATCCTGGAGCAGTGGACCAACCCATTATTTGTCTTGTACATCATGGCTCTTGACTGAAACTTTCATATCTTATTGTACCGGTACTGTCTTTCTATATAAAGCTTCCACATACCTTGCTCTACTATTTCCTTCACACAGCTTGAACGCAGTTATTCATTCATTACAAATTCTTATTACTAATGAATGGATTGCTTATTTAAATTTTTTGTTTTTTCAGACTTGATACAGGATGGGTAATAAAAATTGGACGTGGCCTTGATATGTTCAAAAATTGCGATAAGTTTGCCATCGGCTTCTGTGATCTGGAACTTAGACCATGCCATGAAACCACTGTTGACATATTTCACCGGGCAGCTGTCAAGTCATCCTCAAGATCAAGTTGATGATAATTATATCATTGAATTATTTTCTGTTAACAATTAATAATGCGATAATATTGATTTATATTTTAAGAAATTTTTTCTATTTTTTTTTCCTAATTGCAATCAAAAGTAGTCAGACTCAGAACAATCAAATGTTAAAAATCAAATTTTCTTGGATTTAAAATCTATCAATTTCAAGATTTAATATCTGTAAATTCCAAGCAAATATCAGCATTTTATTCCCCATTAGTCCAAATCATGTTGGTAATTTTGTACACATGTGATATTGACAAGGCCAAATAGAGAAAGAGCCTTAACGACATGGTCCCCACTGGGTTGAGGACATGTGCCCCACTGGGTTGAGGACATGTGCACCACTGGGTTGGGGACATATGCCCCACTGGGTTGAGGACATATGCCCCACTGGGTTGAGGACATATGCCCCACTGGGTTGAGGACATATGCACCACTGGGTTGAGGACATGTGCCGCACTGGGTTGAGGACATATGCACCACTGGGTTGAGGACATATGCCCCACTGGGTTGAGGACATATGCCTCACTGGGTTGCGGACATGTGCCCCACTGGGTTGAGGACATATGCCCCACTGGGTTGAAGAAGCGGCAGACTGATGAAGAATGTGGAATTTTGCTAAGAAAAATTTTATTTAAAAAAATCATCTTTCTGCATTCGGCCGAGTTAATCAACTCTCAAAACGGGAATTGAAATAATATGATGATAATGTATGAGGTTTCTCTTGTCTGTAGCAAAATATTTTACAAGAGATGAGTCGGACTTCTGTTCAGATATGAATACTGTGTTGTTGAAGAAAACAACGTAGCATTGGAAAAATCAAACTGACCTGTTTTGATTCAAATAGAAGATGGCAAGTCTTTTCCAACAAGTAGCATGTCATGTGCTGGCTGGGGTTGAAAATGTCGGTTCCGTGACAAACGCGCACAAGACAATTGCGCACACGACAAACGCGCACAGACAATCCCGCAATGACACAAATGCGCACAGGACAAACGCGAACACCGATAGTTGCGCACACGGACAATGGCGCACACCGACAAATGCGGACACCGACAATCGCCCACAGTGACAAATGCGAACGGCTATATAAGCGCACACCGACAAATGCGCAAATAGCAAGTTATGCATCGCCAATTTAAAGATGATAATGGATTGTCTTAGTTGGTTTTCAGCCAAAATACATCATGTTTAAAGCTAACAATATATTAATAATCATAATAAATGTAATAATAATTGTATGCATATTTTTAAAAAAAACACATGGAAACTACAAATGTTTTGCTTTGTTTCTTCATCAGTGTTCTAAATGAGTTTAGAAACTGAGACCATTTTGTCTGAAGACCATACTGACTGAGGACCATTTTGTTTGAAGGCCATTCAGTTAGAAAAGTTAAAGTTGCCTGTACATTTTCAAGTATTTTTTTTAATGTCAGCCATTAGTTTTTGTGTCACATATCAATCTTGTTGTATTGTATTTAAATGATCATATTTACATCTGACACTGAAAATAGAGTAGCCCAATCAAAAGCTATACTTTCATGATCCTAAAATCAAACCTTTTTTAAAAATATTTTTATCAATTTTCTAAAAATATTATCAAAAGTTGTCCTAAGATATTTTTAACAACTTATGCATGTCATCATATAATATTTTTCACTTTTTTAATTTCATTTTCAGTCTTTGAAGAAGAAAAATAAACTAAAATCACGAAAGGCTGCTTATTATAATATAAAACATTAAAAAAAGTCATGTAATAAACATTTCAGGTTCCTTAGGTTTTAGAACATTTGAGTAACTTTAAATGTTATTATATTATAATAGTTCTTGTTGCTGGTCAAAGTACTGGAATTTTAGTTTATTTTCACCATTCTTTGGAACAAGTAAATTATGTATTTTGGTTTCCCTGATTAAGTTATTAGGCTCTATTTTGTCCATAAATGTCAAATAATCATTAATTTGACAAATGCATGTCTGAAAAAAGATGTTTGATGATCTAGATATTCAACATGTTTATTAAGAACTCTAATGCTGGTGACCTCTGTCAGTCTCCCAGAATTACATTTTACCTGTATGTTGTTAGAGTAGCTGCCTGATTCTTATACTACATAGTAATTATTTATTATTTATAAAATGTCTAAAAAAAATTTTTTGCATACCGTATTTATCACAAAATATTCATGAAATTTCTAAATTTTGTAAAAGTGACAGCAGGTGAAACAAATAATAATGCTGTAACAGAAACAATAACTGAAACAATAACAACAGAAAAAATAACAAACAACAACAATAACAGAACCAAGTTCAAATGTTGTTATTACTTTGTCATTGATTTTATTGCATGTTTTCAAACCTGGAAACTGTACAAACAATAATGTAGTATTAATATAGGATTGTACTAGGTTTCTCAGGTACACCCCCTTTTGTCATTCTTCATTCCAAATTTTTGTTTCTTGTCCAATGAAACTCTGTACACACTTTGTTTAGGGAATGCTCTTTGGTTCAGCTCAAAATAAACTGTTGAACTTGCACCAAAAAATGTGTTAAAATGTATAGTGTTGGTTTTCCATCAGTGCGGTTTCTGACATTGTAGTTTGCTCATTATCTGTATACCCTTACATATCAATTGAAAATGATAATAATAATAAGCGTTAAAATATGTAAAAGAACCTACAACAAAGATACAGATTCATAGGTCCACAATGAGATGAAGAACAAAGGTCAACTGATTCAATGCAACAAAATCAGTTGAGATTGTTTACCAAAATATTTCTACATTATATTAGCCTCTTTGTTTATATGTTGATTTAATGGGTAAATACTTGAGAAGACTTCACTACTATTTCTTCCACAGACACACAAAGCAGAATCAGATACAAATTCGTTCAATTAAAATGCATTACCTTTGTTAAATAGGTCACAATATTAACCTCTACTAAGCCTACCTTTGTTAATTAGGTCAAATATTAACTTCTACTAACCCAACCTGTATTAATTAGGTCACAATATTATTAATACCGGTACCTAAATGTAAATGTACAATGTTTAGTATACAATACATACATGCACAAGTGGGGATGTCCGTGAAGTTTCCTAATACCACTCTAGCAATGCAATGATTGCTGATACCACTCTAGCAATGCAAGGGTTGCTGATACCACAATAGCAATGCAAGGATTGCTGATACCACTCAAGCAATGCACGGATTGCTGATACCACTCTAGCAATGCAAGGGTTGCTGATACCACTCTAGCAATGCAAGGGTTGCTGATACCACTATAGCAATGCAAGGATTGCTGATACCAATAATAACAATGTTTCCATCAAGTTCCAGTTGATATGGAGGAGAGGAGACTAGATCCTTCATTATTTGTTCCCATCAGTTCCAGTTGATGCGCAACACTTTCAGTCAGGCTGGCAGGTTTTCTTTGAAGTGTTTCGTCTGACTTCTTAAGGACCCCTTAATGTGCTCAACTAATCCTTAGTATACTGTTTGTGAGGCGTCAGAACAAAACCACACCAACAACTGTTTTTTTTTAATCAAAAGTTTTCTTTTTAAAAATAATCCATTATAGTTAGAGTATCGAACCAATGGTTGGTTTCTTCCCTAGGTACTAATGGTACCGGTAAGCTAAAATCTGAAGTTGAGAAATGTCCTACTCCTCTAGGTACCCGGTACTATTAGTAGTTACTTCTCTAGGTACCAATGGTAACCTAAAGCCCGTGATACCGACTCGGCCATGATGTCTAGTTTCTTCTGGTGGTCATCCTCATCCCTATGCCACTGCCGCACTGCAACCAGATCATATTCTTCACTTGACCCATTCTTCTTAATGACTGTTTCGTCATTCTCACCAGGGTCCAGATTAGTTCTGACATTTTTTGGATTAAACTTAAAACAATCAAATTTCCTTCCCTGCAAGCTGATAATCCTGGCCATTTCTATAATGCTCAAGTAAGATATCTCTCCGTAGTAACACAAAGATTTAAGCTGTGGACATGTGGTAACCACCTTAATCAAAGCTTCATCATTTTCCGGTGAATCACATAAGCTCGTGAAATTCTCCAATGTCGCACTATAGTACTCAGGCATAATTTCAATCAGCTCTTTATCACATTTGCCATAATTAAGAATGATCACAGAGGCAAGTGGTATATCTGGAGTCAGCATTTTTCTCAGATGTTCAAAGGGTATTCTGGTAGATATTAAATATTCCACTTTTAGCTGTGGTGAAGATAATGTCACTGCAGACCAAGTCCCTGGTGAAATATCAGGGGTTCTGTGGTTGTTAGGATGATTGGAGGGCATTATCAAAATTTTGAGCGCTTCAAGTCTACTTCTTTTCTCTGACACAATCTCACGCAAAAGTTCATCACTGAGCATCGGTGACCTCAAAGACAAACATTTTAAATACTTAAAATGTGACACCAAGGTTAATGTTGAAGCCGTTGACGGTAGCCTGGGAATGAAAGGAGTCCAAGGTCCCATTTTGTGATCTGCATAGTAGAGATTTAGAGATTTTAACTGTGACAGTTTTGTGTTGCTTAGAAGAGCAGAAAACAAGGGACACTTGCCCAGCTCTTCAACAATACCAGACTCGACCGGCCAGGAGATAATATTGATGTGCTGCAATCTTGTAGAATTATAAATTAAACTCTCGATAAGTGCCAAATCATTGGATTGCTGGCTGGATATCTGCTGCGATTGTGTATTGTTAGTGCGCACTGATCCTAGCTTGAGAGTAATGCACTTCAAACGGCAATCTGTATTTAAATCTTGTAGCAACATGCGACATGTGTCGTCAAGAGCTTGAAAGTTACTCATCTCGAAAGCTAAATTTTGAAAATGTTGGGAATATCTTTTAAAGATGAGGGCCAGAGTTTCCTGCGATAAAATCATCCCATTCCATCTGACAATTGTACCGCTGTGATGATCAGATGTGTCTATCTTTATGTTTGACACAGCCCAGAACCTGGGATGACTAAATAGCTTATGAAACCTGTGGCAGGTCAGGCTCAAGTAGTAGCGCTCTGACAATGTCAAAAACCCAACAACATCTATCAAAGCTACTTCTGGGAGATGAATTATATTGATAGATTTGTGATCATTTGTTTCACGATGCACTTCCTTAATTTCAGTTAAGTATGAATCATCTGCCATTAGAGCTTTTGGATCAATGAATACATTTGAAGATGTCTCACTTGAATAATTGTCCATCATTCTTTTTGAAATCTTTGCAATGAGATGCACATTGAAACAAAGCTGATCCTGAAAAATAATTTAACAAAAAGAAGACATTCATTCAATACATTATTTCTGTCATATACATATTTTACACTTATTTATATGGTGCAAGTATAAGTAATGGCCACCTCCAGCTTGTACTTTAAATATAAGCTAAGCAAAATCAAGGTTAAGATCTCATTTCATAAATAAAATTGGGGATTAAAAAGAACTAAGGAATATTAAATTATGTCTCTTCTATGTAAAGATTAGACTTCTTCTTCTTCTTCTTCTATATCTTAAGGGCCCACGATCAATTTATTGATCATTTTGGCTCATATGCATGTAGATGGGATTTGCAATGTTTCTGTTACTGGTGGTGATGAGGAAATTATGCACTAGGGGTTTGAAGGCTTGAGGCAATAGACACAAATGTGTCTAGTGTTGTCGCCTCAACTGTTTCTTTTGAAAGATGGTTCCAGTCCCTGATTGTCTTGGGCAGGAATGAGCTGCTCCTATACTGGCTTCTTGCTGGTATGAGCCTGAATTGCCTGTCATGGCCTCGTCGCTGTCTATGGGGGAGAGGGACGAGTTTCTGTTTAATACTGGAACAGTGGACCAGCCCATTAATTATCTTGTACTTTGAACTATATCTTGAATTTGTTTTAAAGCTTAATTACTTTCAAATTTAAAAAAACCCAAAGATTAAGTCGTAAATACGAGTCAGTGATATTTGATAATAATATTAGGCTACTTAGTGATATGTCTAAGTCTATAATTCTGTCTATTGCTATTGATAATTAAATTAAATTAAAATGAGTATAGACAGTAGTGAGTAAATTTCAGTAAATCAGTGATTCACCCTATCTTAGCATGTCTGGCACTCCTCAGAACGGGGGTCCCAAATCAAAAATAGAATACTTTTCATTAGAAAGCGTACGGCTAATAGCCGCCAATAATTGTTGACGTAATTTTTTACTTCAAATTTTGTTTGCAGACTAAATATTACTTGTAATAATATAAAACAGACAATGCCATGGCCGGCAGACCGCAAGCGGCAGTTCATATTTCAAATAATGTTTTGTCAGGAAACATTCAACAAACTTATGACACAATGCTGAAGGCACTGTATGCTTTGGTTAGTGTGGCTTGCTGAATACCGTCTGATTTAAAACAAAAATTCAACAGAGATCACTTTTGTTTCTCTCCTGCATTTTTCTTTATTTTTCTTCTTCTTTTTTTTTCTTTCTTTAAAAAAAAAAAAAAAACTATCTCGGGAGATGATGATGATGAGGAGGCTGATGAAGATCGCGATCTTTAAAAAAATTAATACATTAAAGTCACCAATTATTGGTGGCTAGCCTATTAGGCTGGTAGCAGGACACTTTCTAACGAAAAGTATTCTATTTTTGATTTGGGACCACAGCTCTGAGGAGTGCCGCATGTCTTTGCTATAGGCTACTTTGCTATTGTATACTATATAGTAGGCTATTCGGTACTATTCTTTTTAATTTTAAGTAGTATTTCTAGTAATATCATCATGATCATAACTTATATAATTAACTACTTTAAGTCCTTATAAGTATTTAAAGTAGTTAATGATAATATAAGTTATAAGTAGGCTATTTTAATTTAGGGCTGCGACTATTCGCGGATAGCCGCTATTTAGAATGGGGTCCCTTTAGACTAAATGCTATTCGGATGTCAATTGTGGTAGTTTATTTTAATTAAACTGAAGAACTAAGTTTACAAAAATATAGTCCATTCAATTATCTATCATTTGATACCAAATTTACCAAATAGGGGTCACTTTAGACTAGTATGTCTAAACTAAATGCTATTGGGATGTCATTTGTGGTAGTTTATTTTAAACTGAAGAACTAAGTTTAAAAACATATAGTCCATTCAATTATCTATTATTTGATACCGAAATTTGTCTTACAACCCAAAAATAATATTTTAAATATTTTTTTAACGAAGTGATTATTCACAGAGCTGTGCCGATAACGCTCGCCGTTATTCACAGATTTCGGTCTGCCGATAACGCTCGACTTTATTCGCAGAATCTTTTAGTATAGTACATACCGGATACCGACTATATACACTATACTTGAACTGTATACAGTTATATACTTAATAACTTATAATAATAATAATAATGTTCAGTGTTACTTTACCGGATTAAAATATATAACGTAAACACCCAAAAGTTGTGGCATTCTATCAGCCAAATTATTATTATATCATTATCAATTTAAATGCTGCTAATATAATCGTGGTTCATAGTTCGACAAGATCGTATAAAATTGTTAGGCTATATTTAATTAAACTTTAAAAAATCTACGGCAACATTCACGTTGAAACTCACCAAGAAAATAGTAAATAACCATTAATCATGTTTTTGTTGTTGCTATTGAAGGGATTCTCTAAACACCAAAATGTGAAATAAATCGAGATGCATTCAAATAATGAAATTTTTACGCACATTTCTCCACTGTATGTTGCAAAGTTGCATAAGTTCAACATAAAAAAAAAAAAAGAAATCAATATTTATTCTGTTTTGAAAAAATTGAAATAAATACAAGCCTGTCACAACTTTTTCTGTGGTACCTGCACTTCCCATCTTACTGAACTTATTTCTGTCTATTCACTTTCACCCTTTGAAAGCTTCGTTTCTCCGGAGACACGAGTATTCTTTCTGTCCCAGAACATGCTCTAAAACATATGGGGAACGATCTTTCTCTTTCTGTGGCTAAACAATGGAATTCTCTCCCATTACACATCCGCGATATACCGACCATCGCAGCCTTCAAAACTGCCATCAAACCCCATCTCTTCTAACTGTACTCTACCGACGCATTATCACCCCTTCTAACTGATAACAACCCTCGATGCTGCTGGATGCTGTCCATGGCTAGACCGGGTATATAGCACTTGGGTGAGTGCTGTCCATGGCTAGACCGGGTATATAGTACTTGGGTGAGTGCTGTCCATGGCTAGATCGGGTATATAGTACTTGGGTGAGTGCTGTCCATGGCTAGACCGGGTATATAGTACTTGGGTGAGTGCTGTCCATGGCTAGACCGGGTATATAGTACTTGGGTGAGTGCTGTCCATGGCTAGACCGGGTATATAGTACTTGGGTGAGTGCTGTCCATGGCTAGACCGGGTATATAGTACTTGGGTGAGTGCTGTCCATGGCTAGACCGGGTATATAGTACTTGGGTGAGTGCTGTCCATGGCTAGACCGGGTATATAGTACTTGGGTGAGTGCTGTCCATGGCTAGACCGGGTATATAGTACTTGGGTGAGTGCTGTCCATGGCTAGACCGGGTATATAGTACTTGGGTGAGTGCTGTCCATGGCTAGACCGGGTATATAGTACTTGGGTGAGTGCTGTCCATGGCTAGACCGGGTATATAGTACTTGGGTGAGTGCTGTCCATGGCTAGACCGGGTATATAGTACTTGGGTGAGTGCTGTCCATGGCTAGACCGGATATATAGTACTTGGGTGAGTGCTGTCCATGGCTAGACCGGGTATATAGTACTTGGGTGAGTGAGGTCAAGCTTTTCACCAATTGTTGTTTTGAAATATATAATTTTTCTGTAATTGCTAATTTTTATGTAACTAATTATAAAAAGTGTTGGACAACGATAAAGCTTTAAATTAGATTAATTAGACACCAACAATTTGTGTCAATATATGTGCCGAAACGTTTACTTATGTATTAAGTATAATTGTTATTAAAGCTTAAATTATATTGTTATATTGACACAAATTGTTGGTGTCTAATTAATCTAATTTTTATGTGAAGCGCAGTAAGCCAACCCTAGTCTGGGGTACTGCACTATATAAATCACTTTACTAGTAACAATAAGACATAAAAGAGTGCAGTATTGTAAATTAAGGTGAAGCTTTACTGACCAATCAAAGCAATGAACGTTTCTTCGGCTCATTTGTTTTTCCAGCGGATAATCACTTATAGGTACTTATGGCTATGTACACTATTTATGTATATGTTTATGAAAATACCATGTTATGTTTTAAATTTACAAAAATAAATTATTTTGACTAGAATGAAGGTCACAGCACCATTTTGAAAAGAATATTTTAATGGTCGAATAACACACATACAAACACACACACGATAAAAATATAAAAATATAATCTCGGTCGAAACCTTCAAGGCTGCCCTGGCATCTGCTAGGACAGCGGTTCTCAACCTGTGGGTCCACTCTACGTGATTCTATGGATTTGGGGAAATTATAGAACGAATTATTTCATTAGGATGAACCAAACAGCTTTATTGGCGAAAAAAACCTTTAAAAAAACACACATATTTTAACACGCTTAAGCCCCACATGATCCACTAAAATGTCTTACTGCCCCCATCTCCCCTAAAAAAAAGGGATAAAAAAAAAGCAACCAATCACATAGAGGATAGAGTGATCTCCCTTCTGAAAATATCTTCTTTGGTGATTTATTTAATATAATTTATTGAAATTTCTCAAATAGACAATCATAGAGAAAATCACGCAGTGGGTCTAAAGCACGCAGTCGGTCTAAAGCAGCATATAATAGAAACAAACCTTGGTAGCGGACCTCCAAAAGATCCTTTATACCCCATTCACTATGTCCCATTTGTCCGCAGTGACCCACTCCCCAACCCACTGTCTACGCAGACGTCTTCATGGGCAGATTTGTGGTCTCAAAGAAAGTGCCAGTCTTCGTTCGTATGGGTTAGTTTTATACCAACTTATAACCACTGTAGGAATGCACCAACTTTCTGACCACTGTAGGAGAACACCAACTTTCTGACTACTGTAGGAGAACACCAACTTTCTGACTACTGTATGAGAACAC